GAATGCATTCTTTTTTTCCAGCTTTTTCCCAGATTTTTCTTTTCTTTTACTTTCTTTTCTTCAATTGAATGCAATATTTGTACATATTTATCTGGTACAGTCTATGTTTCAATTCATGTACATATTGTATAGTGATCAACTCAGGGTTATTAGCATACCTATCAATTATACTTTTATCATTTCTTTATGGTGAATATACTGAAAATCCTCTCTTCTAACTCTTTTGAGACATAATGCATTATTGTTAACCATATTTATTCTACTGTGCTGGAGAACACTAGATATGATTTTTACTGGTTTGATTATTATGTGTCTAAACATTGTTTTATTTGTGTTTATCCTTTTTGGAATTTGCTGAGCTTCTTGGATCTGTAAATTTGGGGAGTTTTCAGCCATTATTTCTTCATTTCTTTCTCTACACTTACTCCTCATTTCAGAGATACATTGGCATGAAATTTAGAACTTTTTAATTGTCTCACAGTTCCTTGAGACTCTTTATCTTTTTCAAAGTCTTTCTATTTTTTTTTCAAATTGGATAATTTCATTTGATCTGACTTCAAGTTAATTGACTCTTTTGTCATCTTCATTCTCCTAATAAGCCAGGTATTGAAGTGTTTTTTCTGATATTATATTTTTCAGTTCTAAAACTTACATTTTATTCTTATTTTATCATTTCCAATCTCAGCTAAAAAATTCTATCCTACCATCCTTCAAAAGTGTACTTAACTTTATCTCATGGAGCATAGTTAGAACATCTGCTTCATAGTCTTTTATAATCCCAACATCTTGATAATCCCAGGACTGGTATGTATAAGGTAATTTTTTAAATCAAAAGCTAGTCCCTTTTTCTTACTTCTTTTTTATTATTTTTAATATTTATTTTTTAGTTGTAGTTGGACACCATATCTTTATTTTATTTATTTACTTTGATGTGGTGCTGAGGATCAAACCCAGGGCCTTATACATGCTAGGCAAGCACTCTACCACTGAGCCACAATCCCAGCCCTCTTACTCCTTTTTATGTTGAATCCTTTCTGATTATATCCTGAATTTTTTAAATGTTTATTTTTTAGTTGTACTTGGACACAATGCCTTTTATTTTATTTATTTATTTTTATGTGGTGCTGAGGATCAAACCCAGGGCCTCACATTTTCTATGCAAGTGCTTTACCACTGAGCCACAACCCCAGCCAGTATCCTGAACTTTTTGAATATTGTATTGTGTAGATGCTCTATTCTACCATAATCTTCTGGAGAATTTTATTTTTCTTCTTGTTCTTTCAGTAGACAATCAATCCAACTATATTTATACCATGAGTTTTTTCTTCCATTCCTTAAGCATGGTTCTGACCTCAGTTCAATGTTCAAAATCTTTCCTATGCTGCCTTGGTTCTGCCTCACAACCATAAGTTAGTTTGAAACTTGGGTCATGACTTAAAACTGTTCCATTTTCAAAGCCTTTGCTAAACTGCTTTTGGCCTGTCCCACATATGTGCTATTTAGCAGGGAGCCCAAGATTGTGCTGGTTCATATACAGAGTTTGTTTCCCTCTCCCCCTAACCTCCCCATTCAACCTTTTCTAGCCCACAGGGTCCCTTTTTCTTTTTTTGTCTGAACATAAATAGTGGCTTTTTATTGAAATTTTAGCCATTAAGAACATTGTTCTGCCATGCATCTCTTTGATTACTTTTTAAGTTTTGTTGTCTTTTTTAATGTCTTTGGACAGTTGATTTCTGCATTCATTCAGAACTTTCAGTTTTAATCAAGTAGAGAAACAGGCTGTTACTGGTTTCACCTTACCATGCTAGACAAAGAATTAATGAATGACCTTAAATAACTTAAGTTCTTTCCCTACTATATGTTGTGAGTAATAATCTCATTCCTACCTACAGGACTGTTAGAAAGGTAAAGTAAGGTCATATATATATATATATATACATACACATATACACACATATATGAATCTGTCTCCTGTTTTCACAGTTCCCAGTAATTATGATTGCTAAGTAAAGGAAAATCTCCTGAAAAGAATAATTTTTAAACTTTTTATTTGGAAATACTTGTAAACTTCTAAAAAAATTGCAGAAATTGTACAGAAAGCTCACATATATTCCTCACCAGATTTCCCTAATGTGAATAACTTAGATAATTAGAATATAATGATCAAACCAGGAAATTAATAATTTGATATTATTAAATAAATTACAAATGCTGTTCCAATTTCACCAGTTTGTATTTAAGTGAGTTTTCTTCTGTTCCAGTACCTAATCCAAGGTCTCACTTTGCACTAGTTGTTGATACTTCTTATTCTATTCCACTCTGTGACAGTTGCTCAGTCTTGTCAATTATTTTGTAGAGTGTTTCTCAATTTGAATACATCAGATAGTTTCTCTTCATTAGATTATAAAGTATAGATTGTTGGTGAGAATACCACAGAAATGATGTGCATCACATCACACAGTCACATGAAGTTGACATATTTTAATCATTACGGATGTTAATCTTTTTTTTTTTTTTTTGTACCTGGGATTGAACGCAGGGACATTCCACCACTGAGCCACATCTCCAGCCCTGTTTTGTATTTTATTTAGAGACAGGGTCTCACTGAGTTGCTTAGTGCCTTGCTAAGTTGCTTAGGCTGGCTTTGAACTCACGATCCTCCTGCCTCAGCCTCCTGAGCTGCTGGAATTACAGACATGGGTCACTGCGCCTAGCAGAGATGTTAATCTTGATCACTTGGCAAAGGTGAAGTCTATTGTGTTTCTCCACTAAGAAGCTACTGATTTCCCCTTTTAAATTAATAAATAGATTGTGGCAGATGCCTTGAGATTATGCAAATATCCTGACTTTCCTCACATTTTCACCTGCTAATATTAGCATGCATCAATTGATACTGGGTACAATAAGTATTACTGTTCATCTAATTGTTCTGTTTTTTCATTCCATCTACATGTATTAATTAGTATTCTTCAGTAAAGAAAACTCTTCTGTCCTCCCATGTATTTACTTATTCGTTATTCAATTATTTATGTATGTCACTATGGACTTGTGTATATGTATATTCAAATTATTTTATGCGTTATAATTCAATACTATCATTATTTATTTTGTTGCTCAAATTGTTCTAGTGTTGGCTATAATAATACCTTCAAGTTAGCTCCTTGTCCTTTACGTCTCCATCCTATTTAAAACATGTCCTTATTTTCTGGAATCACAAAGTATGTCAAGTTAATATTAAACTTTTCTTGCCCTAATCCTGGAATCGGTTACTTCTTGAAGAGGGCTGGCTGATTTTGTGAATGTTCTTCCAGTTTCACCAGTATTTCTTTGTACTTTTTCTGTTCCCGTTTTTTTATTCAAGCTCCCACGATGCATTAGTTGTTGATGTTTAGAAGCCAAGAGTTTGGCTTTGATGTGCTTGTGGCTACTAAATTTCATTGCTCCAAGGCCTTTTGAGTGAACAATCAGAAAATATGTGTATGTATACTAACACAAAAAAGTCCTCTATTTATTATTCTATCTCTCTGTTACTCTCTGTCCCTCCATCTAAACAAATACATGAGTTTACACTGATACTTCTGACTCCAATCCAATTCCTTGATTTATTCTAATTGCCCCTCTATACTTATAACATCTTTCTCTTTACCGTGGTAAATCTGCCAATTACTATCTACAATTTATTTGTGTATTTTGTCAATCCTACACATAAAATATTTTCAAAATTGAGAAAATTTACTCTGTGAGAAACAAATTTACAGTGTTTTGTTTAAGGATTTTTGTCTTAGCCTTACAATAGTGAATCAAAATAATGTTTTCCAGAATTACTCACTATATTAGTTTTCTATGGCTGCTGTAATAACCAGTTGTCCTCACAGTTATGAAGGCTAGAAGTCTAGAATTCAAGTGATGACAAAGTTGATTTCTTCTGAGGGCTGTATAGTAGAATGTGTTCCGTGCTTCTCTCTTAGCTTGTAGTTGTTTACTAGCAATATTTGCCTTCTAGATGTAACACTCCAATCTCTGCTTTCATTTTCATACAGTGTTCTCTCTTTATTTCCTTCTCTTCACATCATCTGACGTGTGTGTGTGTGTGGGGGGGAGGGGTGTCTGTGTCTAGCTTTCCCCTTTTAATAATGACATAAGTTATATAGGATTGGGGCCCAACCTGAATGTTTCATTTTAACTTGATCACTCTTATTTCTAAGTTAAATATTGAGATACTAGGAGTTAGTATCTCAACATATCTTTTTTTGTGTGTTAGTAGACAAACCTTAACCCATAACCTCACATTAGTGTTTTGTTGTTGTTGCTTGCAGTATTAGGGATTAAACTTAGGAGTGCTCTACCATGGAGCTGTTTACAACCCTTTTGATTTTTTATTTTGAGACAGGGTCTCTTTAAATTATTCGTGCTGGCCTTGAACTTGTGATCCTTTTTTCTCGGCCTCCCAAGTTGATAGGATTGCAGGCATATGCCACTATGGCAGCTCATTAGTTCTCTTCTTCCCCACCTGCTTCAGTTATATTGCAGTTATAGTGTACATTTTTAATAAAATCATATACATTTGTTACTTTTATATCTCATTTTAGGTTCTTTCCCTACTCCCACCCCCTTAGGGTGGATTTTAATTATTTATTTTGGAAGCGTGTGAAGTACTACTGTGGTAGTACTGTCAAAGTTATACAAAAGGGCATGCTCAGACAAGGGTTACTCCTGTCATCTTTTACTACTGTTATAGTTTGTATATGGAATGTCTCCCAAAGGCTCATGTGTTGAAGGCTTGGTTCTCAATGTGGTAATGTTCAAAGGTGTGGCTTTTGAGAAATGATTGGATCATTAGGGTTCTGATTTCATCCATGGGTTAATCCATTGATGGGTTCATAATTGAGTGGTCTATTGGAAGGTGATGGAAACTGTAGAAGGTGGGGTCTAGTTGGAGAAAGTAGTTCACTGGGGACATCACCTAACGGGGTATATCTCATTCCTGATTCCTTCCCTCCAGCTTCCCTGTTCTTTTGGCTGTCACGAGGTTACCAGATCTGCTCCTCTCTGCTGTGATGCTCTGCCTCCTCAGCAAGGAGCCAGCTGATCAAAGACTGAACCTTTTGAAACTGTGAGTCAAAATAAATCTTTCCTCCTTTAAGTTGATTTTCTCAAGTATTTTGTCACATCAATGAAAAGCTGATTAGCACAACTACCTGTTTCATTCTCCCATTCTGTCCACTCCTTTCACAACTGCTCCATGTAGATAACAAACCTCTATAGTTTATGTTCTATCTTTCCTGTATTTTTTGCAAAAGTGAGCAAATACATATTAATGTTCTAATATTTCCTTTTCTTTCATGAAAGGTAATACACTATGGATTATCTTTTGTATATGGCTTTCTTCTCTTAACGGTATGTCCTATAAATCATATCAAGTTATTCTTTTGTTTGTTTGTTTTGTGGTACTAGAGAGAGAACCCAGGGCCTTGTGCATGCTATACAAGTGTTCTATCACTGAGATACTTCCTCAGGCTTTTAATTTTTTATTTTGAGAAAGGGTTTCACTAAGTTGCCCAGGCTGGACTCAAATTTGTGATCCTCTTGCCTCAGTTTTTCAAGCATCTGGGATCACAGGCATGCACCCAGCTTCATTTTTTATAGCTACATAGTACTCACGACAAACAAGCTCTAAGGTTGTTCCATGATCTCTGACTCTTAATTTTCCTACCCTTGTCTAATACTCTTCTCTTGAATGTGGGCATGACCTGTGAGTTGCTTCTAACCAATAGAATATGATAAAGATGATGAAATGTACTTTCATAGTTAGTTTGCATAACATTGCTACTTTTGTCTTTCTAGTGGACTATCTATATTGAGTCTCTTTTCTAGCTCTGATGACAGGATGCCAACATATGGAAAAGTCAACATGGCAAGGAACTATAGGAAAACTCTAGTTTCTGAGGACAGATTCCAGCTGATAGCCAGAAAGTAGCTGAGGACCTCAGTCTAACAATCCTCAAAGAACTATATCCTGCCAACGACCATATGAGCCTAGAAGTCGGTCCTTCCCCAGTCAAGCCTCAGATGACTCCCAGTCTTGGCCCACACCTTGATTGGAGTCTTGTAAGAGCTCTTAAGTAGAAGATCCAGGGCCCCTGTCCCTGGAACTTTGAAATAATAAATACATGTTTTCAAGCAACTAAATGTGTGGTCATTTGTCATATAGCAATATAGAGTTGATAAGAGTACTTCATTGGACATATGATAGTTTGACTGTTCTCCTGTATGTGAACACTTAGGTTGTTTTTAATATTTTGCAATTGTAAGCAGTGTTTCAGTGACTAACTTGTGTTATGTACTTAAATATTGTTGGAGGTATATTTTTAAAGTGTTTTGGGGGAGGATTACCAGGTCAAAATGCATAATTTTGTCATATATTATCATATTGCTCTCTAGAAGTGCTATACCAATTTGCATTTCCCATAACACAATAAACAGAATGTATTGTCATTCTGTGTGTGTGTGTGTGTGTGTGTGTGTGTGTGTGTGTGTGTGTGTGAGAGAGAGAGAGAGAGAGAGAGAGAGAGAGAGAGAAAGAGAGAGAGATGCTGGGGGATCAAACCCAGGGCCTCTTGATTTTAAGTAAGTGCTCTACAAGTGAGTTACATCCTAAATTCTGTTACTCTTCAATTTTTGCCAGTTTAATGAATGAGAAATGGTATCTCACTTGTTAACATTTGCATTAATCTAAATATGATTGATTTTAACATTTTGCCCAATGTTTTAGGGTCATTTTACTTTCTTTTGAGAGATGAATAAATACTATTAGAGAAAATTAGGGAACAAATCTTTTAATTTTTCAGGATCTACAGAGCTCAGGATAAGGTTCTGGAGTCATATTCAATGTATGAGTTTTGAATAGGCTCATTGAATGAAAGGTTTATGGCTGGAAGTAGCATAGTAATGAGAGGAGCAAGATATTTAGCATTAATATCTGTGTTGAATTCCTAGACTGTCTCCTTACTATGAATGTAAACTTGGTGAGTTTACTGAACCTCCTTCAGGTTTTTAAAAAGATTTTACATCTTCAAATAAATGGAAATAATAAAGTTCCTTTTCTGGTGGTGATTGTGAAGGTTAAATATAATACTAATTCCTAGAATATAGAAGATTTTTCTCCTCCTTTCCTTTTCTCTTACCCATCTCACTAATCAGAGAATATAGAAATAATAAAAATCACAGAAATAAGTAATAACACGATTATCCATATTCTGGGCTTTTGGGATTTATCTCAAGAATTTATCCCAAAACTTAAACATAGAAATGATAATCTGGTTGGAATACCTTCCCTTTCTCTTTGGTGCTCCAAACCTTCTTCTACCTAAATTTATGCAACCCTTACAACCTGTATCACAAGCTCAAGCACTTAATCATTTGTACACATTTGTTCAATAAGAATTTTATTGAGCACATACCACTCTGCAGGGATCATCATTGTAATCACACCCTATACAATGTCACAGTATAAAAGGATTTTATATATGACCTGGTCCAAGCTTTTATTTTTACAGATTAGAGGAGCTAAGCCTAGAGGGAGGAAGTCACCCTAATATTTTATAGTAAATTAGTAGCAGAATCATGATTAGGGCACAGGTTTACTAACACTTAAGTCAATGTTAATCTCATATTTTGTCGAGGATATTCTGGTTATTTTTATACAATCTTTAAGTTAACCCAAGAACCTTTGTGAGAACAGCAAAAAAAAAAAAAAGTCTAAAAATAGTAGGTAGCTAGCAGCAGGCTGGTAGCCCAGGGCAACATACTGCTGGTGGATGGTGAGATTTTGACAGATGGATCTCTCAATCCCTTTCCAAACTCCAGATAGTTGATAAATGAATCATTCCTTTGTCCATATTCTGATAGGATTGCTGCTATTTCCTCTGGCTTTCCTCCACTTACAGTAGGCTGGGCCTGAGATTTGGCTTCCTAATTTGCCTGCAAGTCAGAGGCCAACAGAACACATTCTGGTTAAGAATAGCTCTCTGATGTGCTAATTTTTTCATAACCAAACTGTGTCCTAGAACCTATAGTTTTGAGAAGAGCAAGGAAGGATGAAAATGTTGTCAATCTCCAGTTACCAAATTCAATTTAATTCAAACCAAAAGAGTATCTTCAATGTTCCAGGCACTATGATACCTCCAAGGACACAGAAATCCACACAACACTGTCTTTGAGGAACATACAGTCTATTTAAGATACAGTGGACACAGAATTGATAGAATAGGCAAATTGTTTTAGTGTTGCTGGTAAAGGAAAGGAAAGAGTCAAGGAATTTCATTTGCATAATTAATTGAACCACAATTAGTTAAAGTAAGGAATAAGGAGGAGAAACAAGTTTGAGAGGTGGGAAGATGATAAAAATGTTGAATTCAAGGGGTTCATGGCGTATGCAAAATTTCTCAATTTTGTGGTTAACTGATGGATATAGTGGTGTGAAGATTAGAAAAAAAAAAAGAAAGCCAGGATGGAAGGCAAAACTTGAAAATCATTAAAACATAGTTGTGGCTCAGTGGCAGAGTGCTTACTTCACACGTGTGGGGCACTAGGTTCAATTCTCAGTACCACATAGAAATAAGTAAACAAAATAAAGTTATTGCGTCTATTCATAACTAAAAAAAACTAAAGAAATTCTGCAATCTGTATTTGGGGTAAAAATGGGAGTTCATAACCAACTTGAATCTAATGTATGAAACATGATATGTCAAAAGCTTTGTAATGTTTTGAACAACCAATAAAAAAAAAAGAAACATAGTTGGTTAGCCAAAGAGCTATGCTGAAAGTGATGTGGCAAAAACACCAGTTCACCAGTTCTCCATATTATACTATCTTTCCTGCTGCTGTGAGGAATCATGCAATGGGTACATGCTGATGTGCAGAAGCCAGAAGATTAAAGACCCTGGACCAGAGAGTCATCATATGGAGCTCAGTGACTCTAAAGAGTATCCTGGGCCTAAATGGATATAGAATAAGCAATAAATAAAGCTTAGTTAAGCTCCTGGAAAAAAAAACATAGTTGGTAGCTGAAGTCAGTGTATGATATCAGCCAGTATGTCATCACTAAAGAAAGGGAGGACAGGAAAATACCATGTCCCTGAATACTCTCTTTCTGTTCCCCAAAAAACCTAGCCAAGTTAAGAAAACAATGAGATCAGGCCTGGTGAAAAGTCCACATATATTATCTTCAAAGACATTATCTTTCTCTTATGTACACTGAGAACTAGGTCATCTTAGTGTTATTTGTAGAAAACTATCTTCTTGCATGTACACCAGAACAGTTGCTCCTTGGGATACTGGTCATTCAAGGAAGCTAATGCTTATGATGTCACTGATTTTGCAGTCCGAGATATATATCTTCTCTCTAGCTGGGTCAGGTATGGAACTGAGGGCACTGTGGAAAGGACACATGTCACTTATCCATCCAGTCATCACTGGTCAAAACACTGAGGGAGAGGAGGCACTGCTTGGCAAAACACCTTGAGGGATTGCGGTACTGTCTGTTGAGCTTGTCACCATTGAACTCTTCTTGAAGCAGTCACTGTTTCCCATAATAAATCATATGTCTCTCATGCTGTCTCTGGGAAATATCTTTGGCTTTCTTGAAACCTGCCCCCACTGACCTGGCACAACTAAGCTGTGGACATGTCAGCCAGAAAGAGAGAATAGATTGAGAAAAATAGTGCAAGAGTGCAATCTTCAATAATTGTCCAAAACTAGGGAATGGATTCTTCTTTCCATTATATGTAGGAATATATGTAAGTGAAAGTAAATGAAAATTGAATTAGAGAACTCTTAATTTTTTGTCCCACAATTATTTACTCCTTAAACTTTTTGTGAAAAGCATTAATTACTCTTAAAGATGAAAAAAAAGCATTGTGGTAAAGGAGCACATTATAAAATTTCTGAAAAGAATATTTATAGCTCCACCACTGTAACAATACTATTTTCTCCATGTTTTTTTCCAATCTCTATTAATATATTTATAAATATGTGCTCACATAGCTATAATTGGCATTTGTATACTATTTTGTCCTTTATTAAAATTTAGTTTTCCATTCAACCTTGGTTTTCATATATCTGTTTCCATGTTGTATGGAATTCTGTCAGGTTGATTGCTTAGCTATTTCCATATTGTGCCAAGTATCATTTCAAAACTCATCAATAAGAACTTAACTGACGTTTTCCCTCATTCTTTCCTAAGCACAATGGCAAGAAGGAGAGAGGATACGGATCTGAATGGCTTAGACCTTCTAGTTTACAAATCTTTTCATAGCATAAAAATAAGTAGTTATGTTTCCCACAGAAAATTGTTTCCATTCAATTTCCATTCAACTATAAGTTAAAATTCCTTCTACAAATTTCTGCAATTCAAGTATGAGGCCATCATGTCTTTAAGCTTTCTGTAATTTCACAGTTTATTCAGGGCTTATAAACAGTTCCACAAACTTTTTCCCTCATTATTTTCTTTTTAAAATTTTGTTCTTTTCAGTTATAAATGACTGCAGAATCTATTTTAAATTTTTTTTAGCTGTAGATTTTTATATGGTGTTGAGGATCAAACCCAGTGCCTCATGCATATGAGGCAAGAACTCTACCACTGAGCCACAACCCCCGCCCCAGAATCCATTTTGATATAATTATACAAGCATGAAATATATCTTATTCTATTTAGAGTCCCATTCTTATGGATGTACAATGGTAGTAGTATTCACTAAATTGTTTCCATAAATATACATGGAGAAACTATGTCAGATTCATTCCATTGTCAGATTAAGTCATTAGTCCATATCATCCTGAACCTAAACTACCATGTCTAATCCTACCCTCAATTTCGTGGGTATGAACCCACACATTCCTCAAAATCTTTGTTCTCCAAGATTGCACCTGTTTTAGCTTCATTTCCAGTTTTACCTATTAACCTATTTGATCCTCTGATTTTCAATACTGCTTTATCTTTCCAATTATGATTTGTCTCTTCTCTCATCTCCCTTCCCTTTAGTGATCCTCAGATTGACTCCCCACTTTTGAACTTCTCTGTTTTGGCCTCAGGACCACTTCAACGATGGCCCTTAAATCCTCTTGGGAAGCGAGGTCCAGCATTCCTGAGCCCTAGAGGATTGGGTACTGGCTATAATTTCCTAA